TTCTCCCCCCCTCTTTTCCCCCCTTTTCCCCACACACAACCCCCCAAATCCATGCAATATCCCCCCTGCTGACACTAAAAATACCATTATCAATCCCCTGCTGAGATCCAGGTGCCTTTTCCCGCAGGAAAACCGTGGTGTGTCCCATCATCGACGTGATCAGCGACGACACCTTCGAGTACATGGCAGGCTCTGACATGACCTACGGGGGCTTCAACTGGAAACTCAACTTCCGCTGGTACCCAGTGCCCCAGAGGGAGATGGACAGGAGGAAAGGGGACAGGACCCTCCCTGTCAGGTGAGGCACTGCCCCAGGCCTGCTCTCTGTGTGCTTCCCTAGGCAGTAACTCACAATTCCCAAAGTTCTCCCGAGATCCCCTCGGGGAGTTGTGGGGAGCGAAGGCCAAATTCTGCCCTGTCCTTAGTGCTGCAGCAGAGCTGAGAAAACCCATTGCATCTCCTCCTCACCAATCTTTCTGCTTGCTCAGCTCCCTCCCTTAGTTCTCTGCAAACAGCCTTTTTATTCTGTTTTTTTAACCAAATATCAGAAGGTCTTTCTGAGCATTTTGGACGCTGAACCCCAACATTCAGCTGTGATGATTTTTGCACTTGAAGCTCTTGTTTTCTTAGGAAATAGAACTGATGACTGTACACCCTGAGTCAAAAATGATCTAAAAGCATTTTTTAATTGCTTTCCCCCACCACCACCAGCAGCTTTTAGCTGGAATTTTGGGGGATTCTCCCGATCAGAGGGGTGTTAATGAGCAGAGTGGGGGTGGAGGGGTCAGGGGACCAAGTGCCACATGTGCCCACAGGATTGATGACTGTGCACCCTGAGTCAGAGATGATGGAAGAGCCTGTCCTGACCTCTTCCATTTAATTGCTGGAACCACAGAGTGTAACAAAACCTCTTCCCAAATTCTAAATGAAGCTGAAAGGGAACAAATTGAATAAATTACTGGTGAGGGGTTATTTGCTCAGCTCTAACGGCTTCTGTGGCTTCAGGGGAAGTGCAAAAATAGATGAAAAAAAGGTTTTTTCTGAGTGGATGTAATGGTTTCCAACCCGTGGAAGGTGGGATGGAGTGGGCAGAATTCCAATGCTGCACATCCCTGGAGCAGGGAGGGAGGAGAGGCAGCTCAGGGGATGGTGTGTCCAGGTAGGGCAGGGATGGAGGGGCCAAAAAAAGCCTTTCACCATTAATTCTGCCAGAAAATGGCCAAAATCTGTCATTGCTTGTCCTTCAAAGCCTGGAATGAGGGGAGGGCTGGGTGTTTTAGGTTTTATTCCCAGGAAAAGTGAGGAGGGTTGCCAGAAAGTCGTTAATGGAGGGAGGGGGTGAAGCTATTTTGGAGTCAGAAGAACTGTTTTTCTCAGGATCTAAAATGTTCTCTCTGGGCTGTGAATTCAGGCAGCAGCTCCTTCATTAAAGCTCAGGTGTGGGTGGAAGTTGGGAGAGTTAATTAATTACCCTAACGAGCTGCAGAGCCTCTCTGTGCTCTGTCCATCCCAGCTCTCCCGAATCCACAGAGATTTTCCAGAGGAGGGAAAGGGAATTTCCAAAGAGAAATTGGAAATTTGCCTTTGTCACAGGGAGTCACAGGGAGTTTCCAAAGAAAGGCAATTCCCAGTTCTTATTTCCTTCCCTTGAGATGGAGCAGGGCTCAAAGTGAACCCTGACTCAGACAAGTCATCGACTCTGCAAAGTGTTAAAATATAAAAATGGGGGTGTTTGTATTTCTTTATGTTTTTCCCTCACCAGCTTTTAGGTGGGATTTTGTGGGATTCTCCCCTCAGAGGGGTGTTGGTGAGCAGAGTGTGGGTGAGGGGGTCAGGGGGCCAAGTGCCACAATTGTCACTCACACAAGAGCTGTGGAGTGAAGAGGAGGCTCTTTGTGCTGGATTAAGACCGAAGTGTTGGGGTTTGGTTTAGGCATTCCAGGCTCTTTGGTGTCAGAAGAATGTCAGAATCATGGGATCATTTAGGTTGGAAAAGGCCTCTTGAGACCATCGAGTCCAACCAGCACCTCCACCGTGTTCACCAGCACATCAGGAACCACCAGAAATTCCACATCCAAGGAGCTGAGTTCTACCCTCCAGCTGTGCCAGGGGAGGCTCAGGTTGGACATCAGGAGGAATTTCCTCATGGAAAGGGTGGTCAGGCACTGGCAGGGGCTGCCCAGGGAGGTTTGGAGTCCCCAGCCCTGGACTGGCCGTGGCACTCAGTGCTCTGGGCTGGGGGACAAGGGGGGCATCGGGCACAGGGGGGATCCATGGGCTGGGAGGGCTTTTCCAGCCTCAGGGATTCCATGATTCTGTGGAAAAAGTCACATTTGAGCTCAGTTACAAATAGTTTTGGCAGCTGGATATTCAAAAAATAGGGGGCTAAAATCACCACCAGCCTAAGCCAGGCCAAAAGTGTAGAAGCAAATTGGTGAGTTCATTTTTTTAATTTCATGTTGCTTTCCCTGTTCTCTCACATCATTTCAGCCTCGTGTTTTTATTCCTATTTTTCTCTGTAATCAGTGGAACAGGCAGAAAACACAAACCTCCTTGGGTGACCCTTGTGTGCATGTCTGTAACACCATTGCTGCCCTCAGACTCTGCTCTTTGGTAATTTAAAATCCCTGTGATCTGCACAGGTTTCACTCTAAAGAATTTATCTTCCATAATTACAGGGATAAATTCCTACCTTTGCTCTCTAGATTTAAAGTCATAACACAGGCATCATCACACCAGGGGTTATTTTACATACAATTTATTATTTATGTGTAATTTGTATTGCTGCAGAAGTGTTTTTTTTGAAAAAATGAGGAAAGCTTAGTGAGAAGAGCTGGCTGATGGGTCAGGGCAGAGCTGAGCCATCACATTCCCTAAATTAACTCATTGACCCCTGTGGAATTAAGGGCAGAAGGTGCTGAACCTCTGGAAAAGGGTCCCTGACTCTTCCCAGTCCATGGATCTGATCAGTGCTGGTGGATTTGCTGAGGGAGTTACAGGAGCTGATCCATTCTTGGTCCTGTTTGGAGTCAAACATCTTCTTGGAATCTCTGGATTTGCTGGGAAAGGTTAATGAATTCCATGACTCTGCCATTCAAAGCCCACAGCTCCTTGTCGTGCAGCACAGCGGGGAGGGAGCTCCTGACATTCCTCAGAAAAATGGGATTCTTTGCCTTATTTTTAGCACTAGGAACGTGGGGATCCACAGGTGCTGCTTGTGCTGCTCAGGGATACCTTGGACAGCTCCATTCTCCTCCAGGATCCATTCCTGGATGCTATTCCTGCTCTTCACACACCCGTCTCTACCACCTCTGCCCCTTGTTTCTCCTCCTGGTTCTTCACCTCTGGTCTAACAGCCCTTTTCTCCTCCCTTACCCATCCATTGCTCAGGTCAGTTAATTAACACCACAGGGTAGGACCTTGCCCCAAAACAGCCTGAAATGGTACCTCCAGCCCAAGGAATCCCAGGTTTTGGGAAGGCAGGGAAAGCCTTTCCTGCTGGCAGATGTTCCAAGGTGATGGATGGGCGTGGGCAGTGCCAGGGCTGGGGGCTGAGTAGGGCACTGGCAGCAGGTCAGGCCACCCCCACCCCTCAGTGCCCCCCACCCTGGGGGATGAGGGGGTGGCAGTTGGTGCTGGTCAGATTTTGGCATTTCGTGGGGGGTTTTTGGAATGTACTTCCCAATTTTGTGTCATGTACAGCAGTCGTGGCTGCCCCTGGATCCCTGGAAGTGTCCAAGGCCAGGCTGGAAGGGGCTTGGAGCAACCTGGGCTGGTGGAAGGTGTCCCTGCCCATGGACACATGAGCTTTAAGGTTCCTTCCAACCCAAATCATTCCATGATTCCTTGATTCCTTACAATGCTCAGAAGCAGGATGACCGTGGGGACCTTTCAGCTCCCGAGGTGTGTCTGCAAGGACTGAAACCAAACTGAGACCAAGGGCCATTCAGGAGAAACCCCTGAATTACAGGTTGTTCTGGAGACAAATCTTTCATTCTCTGACACATGTTGGGATCAGTTGGAACACGTTTTTTCCAGGTTTATTTGCAGGAATGAAATAGGAGCTGTGGCTTTGGGAGCACACATTCCCTGAGCCTTGGAGCGGGCAGGGGTTGGTGCAGGGGTTTGTGTCTCACTCTGAAGGTCCAGCAGCCCCCAGGGACTCATGGCAGTGGGTTTAGAGGTATTTTTTTTGTTTGGATAACAAAGACTATTCGCTGCTGTTTGGCTGCTCCTGAGGATTTTCTCTGTTTCCATGTAAATGCTGTAATTCCACTGTCACCGGAGGTCATGCTTGGAAACGAGCAGACCTTGTCAAAAAGGGTTATTTTAAGTGCAAAACCCCTTTTTGCTGCTCAGGGAGCAAAACCTGGGTGGTTGTCCTGGACAGAGGTGGAGCTTGAAGCTGAGTCTCCCTGGGGATGGTCCAGTGGCTGCAGGAAGGTCTGGGAATTCCGGGAGCGGAGCGGCTGCTCCTCAGGCAGGGCTGGTTCAGCAGGCAGTGCTCACTGGGCTAAACCCAGCCCTGTTAAACCTTTCCTCCTCCTTTTTCCACTGGGAGACCCTTGTACAGTATTTGTACTCTGCAGAGCATCCTCTGCCTTTGAGGGAACTCGTTTTTCCTGCAGCAACAGAAACCTTGTCTGTGCTAAAGATCAGCTCCCAAACATCTCGTCTGACAAGGATTAAAAACATGAAGTGTTTCTGTGCTGGGCTTTTGCAGTCCCTGCTCAGCCCATTTTTATGGATATTTCCATGCCTGCCCTTCAGTTTTTTGAGCTGAAGGCGCTCCAGGCAAGTATTAGAAATACTAAAAATATAGATTTGTTCTGGAAAATCTTTTCTCGAGTATAAATTAGATATGAGGAGGAAAAATACAAGATTAAATATTAGGAGTGTATTAGAATCACAGAATATCCTGAGTTGGAAGGGACCCACAAGGACTATCAAGTCCAACTCCTAGTCCTGCACAGGACACCCCAAAAATCCCACCATGTGCCTGAGAGCATTGTCCAAATGCTCCTTGAACTCTTGATATTGTGTTTATTTTCTTATTATTAATAATTAAAACTTAATTATTAAACTTAAAGTTGATTGCAATTAATCCTGCCTAGGTGATGCACAGCAGGGATTGAGACTGTGTAAAAGGTGTAAAAACCTTATTCCAAGATAAATAAATAGTGGTCTTGTTTATTAGTGATGTTGTGACTGTGGGAGCCGTTGGAGTGGTGGATGCCCAGGATGGGACTTCTTGTGGGATGCAGGGTGAGGTGCTGTTGCCTGGAATTAGGGAGTATCCCATGGCAGGAGTGGGGTCCCTTGGATGTCTCTCTTGCCATCAGGGCGTGCTGGGCTGGGCTGAGGCATCAGTGGGATGCAGCAAACCTGGGGTTTGTGTGGTGCAGGGCCAGGGGTGGGAATCCTGTTGGCTACCAGGAACTGCACAAATGGGAAGCTGAGGCTGTATCCAAAAATCAAACTGGGTTCAACTGGGGATCAGAGTTGACCTGATCCCATCACTGGAGTGACTCCAGGAGGTAAAATAGCTCTGAGAGGTGTGGAACTGAGGGGAAGCTGTAGGAACCCTCATTATTGCTGCTGGTGTTGCAGGGGCTGGGCTGGGCTGGGCTGAGCTGGTGTCACGTCACCCACCCCAAAATCCAGCGTCACCCACCCCAAAATCCAGTGTCACCCACCCCAAAATCCAGCGTCACCCACCCCAAAATCCAGTGTCACCCACCCCAAAATCCAGCGTCACCCACCCCAAAATCCAGTGTCACCCACTGGGCTGTTGGTTTTGAAGCTGAGGATGGAAACGTGGCTGATCCTTGATTCCTGATGAAGGATCCTTGATCCTTCCCTGGGAGGGTGGGGAGGCCCTGGCACAGGTTCCCAGAGAAGCTGTGGCTGCCCCTGGATCCCTGGAAGTGCCCAAGGCCAGGTTGGAGCCACCTGGGCTGGTGGAAGGTGTCCCTGCCCATGGCAGGGGATGAGTTTTAAGGTCCCTTCCAGCCCAAACCATTCCATGATTCCATGACACCTCGATGTGCCTGGAGGTCCTCCCCCCCAAATCCCACAGATTTCCCACAATTCCCTCAGGAATGCTGAGAGCTCAGCAAACAGGGCTGGGACACGTTTGGGCTGAACCTCCACCCTCTTTATCTGCACCCCCGAGTCCGTGTGTGGGTATTTTGTAGGAGAGCTGGGATTTGGGGGGTGTTCCCTCCCTCAGAGCTGTGCTCCTGCCAGCTGGGGTGGGCATTCCTCATGTCATTTGGGAAAACAGGGAGCAACCTGGCCAGGGAAGTAGGACACCCTCACACAAAGGGAGCTGCACTCCGGTGGATTTGCCGGTTGTAAGGATTTATAATCCTGTTAGGAGAGATTAGGCCTGGTAATTTTATGCACATTTAGTCTCCTCTGAGGCAAAGCCGAGGCATTAAACTCCTCACTGAGCATTCCAGATGGGATTGGAGCTGCTGCTCTGCACGCAAAGGGCCAGGATTCCACCCACTTCACCACCACAATGCTCCCAGATAATCCCTGGAAATGCAATTTGACGGGTAGGGAACGACCCGGAGCTGTGGCTGGGATGGGGCTCCCATGGATTTTGGGGGAGAGCACAGCAAGTACAGTCAAATTGTCCTTTTATTCCTCGTGGCTTCTGTTCCAGCTGTGTGCCTAGAAATGCTGTGTAGTGCACCTGGGAGGTAGTGAAATGTGCTGTAGTGTCGCTGCTCAATTCCACAGCGTCTCTCAAAAGGTATTTTTTCTTTTTTCTTTTCTTTTTCCCTTTTCTTTTTTTTTTTTGTTTTTGTTTTGTTGTTTTTGTTTTCGTTTGTTTTTTTTTTTCTGTTTGTTTTCAACTAGGACCCCTACTATGGCTGGTGGCCTATTTTCTATTGACAGAAACTACTTTGAAGAGATAGGAACTTACGATGCAGGAATGGATATCTGGGGTGGCGAGAATCTTGAAATGTCTTTTAGGGTAATTGCTGTTTTCCTTCATTTTCTGTCCAAAACCCCCACAGTTGTGCTGTACCAGTTCCTACCCCACGCTCAGGGCACTCTTAGGTGGCTTAATTTGAATTTCCAAGGATTTGGGAACCACCTCCCTGCAATATTTCCACCCTTTTTACTGCATGAAATATTTTAATGCTCTTTGGGGGTTTTTCTGATTTCAAAATTCTGTGTATTTTAGTAATTCCTCCTTACGAGAAACGAGGCTTCCTGTGAGCTGATGTTGATGACAAATATTGATGTAAATTTATATATAAAGCAATATAAATATATGTTTCAACAGAAGTTTTGGAGGTTATGACATCATGAACTTCCAAATTCTGGCTGGGATTTTGGGGCTGTGTGAGGTAAATTCCCCATCCTGCAGAAAATCCCTGTGTTCCTGCTGGAATAGGTGTGTTCCCATGGCATGGATAACATCTCTGAGGGAATTGCATTTAATAACTGCCCTTTAGACAGAAAGGGAAGCTGGAAAATGGAGGCTTTGATGAGTGCTGGTTGGCAGGGATGTTGGAAATGGCTTTGAACTGCTCGGAGGGGGCACAATTTGCAGGAATTCTGGGCAATAACCCCCGGGATTCCTGTGTGGCACCCACAGCACGGCCTGGAGAGTCCCTTTGGCCCTTTTTCCTGTCTTTCCTGTTCAACCAGAACCATTTTCCACGACAGAAACCCCTTTGAAGGTTTTTATGAGGGAGGTATTTCTAGAGAGGACCAACTGAGAATTTAAAAGCATTTTCAGGCCGTTTCTATCGACTTTATTCGTTGGCTTTGCAGTAAAATCGAAGGGTTGAGTTACTTCTGCTGAGCCTGAGTGTTTGAAATGAGTAATTTCAACATTTTTTGGGTGTGTACACCCCTAAAATACTCCTGTATAGGAGGTTGTTTTCCCTGCAGCCTGTGAGGAGGCTGCTTTCCCATGTTTTAGAGCAGCCCCCTGGAGCACAGGGTGACTGGCACTACTTTAAAGCATCAAAAATGTGCCTGTCCCAGATTAAATCAGTGTGTTCTTGCTGTTCCTCGGGATTCCTGGAAAGTTCCCTGGCATTTGAAGATGAGAATTGCTGATGCACATCAAGCCCTGGCAGGGGGAACCTCGAGGCCATTTGTTACTGCTGGAATTTGTCCCTTACAGAGGCTTTTGTGGGACAGATTTTGGGTCATTCCTATGGAAAGGGCTTGTTCTTGTCAGGGAAATCTAAAATCCTTAACTCTCCTTTGGGAAGAACAGTGAGTTTTCATCCTAAAAAAGATAATCCCTGAAAACCCAACTCCAACACAAAGGGATAAACAAGGGGGTTTTGTTTAAGGGTCTGTGTTGGAGAATATGGACATGGCAGGGGGTGGAACAAGATGAGGTTTAAGGTCCCTTCCACTCCAAACCATTTTGGGATTTTGGGATTCCATAAATACCTGATATGACACAGAGCAGCCTGTGATCATTTATCCAGCTTCCAGCAAAGGGTATAGAAATGCCCTAAATGGGATATTCCTAATTCCTGCTCTTGCTTGAATAATGTTCACATGTTTTTGGAAGCCTTTCCTGAGGAGTGGGGCAGTTCAGTGGTGTTATTTTGTCTTCCCCTGGTGCTCGTCTGCTCTGGCTCTTGGCAGCTTGAATTCTATTCCATATTTCTCTCAGAGAAAGTCAGAGATGGGCTTAACTTCTATAAATTTAGTGAGAATAAGATAAGATAAGATCTTCATTTCAGCTTTGAATTATAAATCTTGGTCCCAAATGCGTGGAGGGACAAAGACCAGCAATATCCATGCTCTCCACAGAAATCCCAGGGGATAAAGGCAGGGCAGCAGCTCTGCCCTTGCTCTGAGAATCAGAATAGAAGAATATCATCAGAATAGGAGAATATAAGACTATAATAAGAATATAATCAGAATATAAGAATATTATAAGAATATAATCAGAATATAAAATACTTTTTAAGGCCGAGGGGAGGGCAGCAAGGAGAGGAGACACATGGATTTTGGGGCATGAATTTCATATTAGAGAACATGATTTGTTTGTTTTCAGAAGATTTTCCCACTTAAATTTAAAGAACCATTGCCAGCCTGGAATACGTGCATGGCCTAAGAGAGGGCTTGGTGTTAAGAATAGAAATAAAATGAATAAAATGATGAATTTCCAGCCCTGGGATGTTGCCATAGGAGGGCCAGGGAACTTCCTGGTACTGTTTATTGGAATTATTTATTGGAATTAATTGTTCTGTAAAGGCCAGTCAAATATTCAGGTGCACTGAATCCCACTGGGTCAAGGACAGAAAAGGGGTTTAAGACCCACCTAATGTGACACATCTGCAGGAAACTGGGAGCAGAGAGAGCCAAGGGTTTGTGGAGGTTCCTCCAGCTCCAAACCTGCCATTATCCAGCAGGATATCTCTGGAATATCTCATGGAATACAGGAGACTCCGCTGTGGTTTGGAAAATAATAGGGTTGAGCCATCAGGATGTTCCTGCAGCTGTTTTTATATTGGGGATTTATCACCAAATGGGAGGGGGGAGTTTTGCTGTAGGTCCAGATCCCCCAGACCCCCTGTTTTGGGAATCCCTGAATCCTCCAAAGTGCTCCAAAGTGCCTTTCCCTCCCTGGATCCTGTCCAGGGTTCCACCCCCTGGACCATCCCATCCTCCAGCAGCAGTGACATTATCCCAAACAAATGCCATTGTCCCAAACATCAGCATTGAAAGGATTTGCAGCCCTTTTAGGCCCCCAGAATTTTTGGGGAGGGCTCTGGAGCAGCATCCATGGGGTATAATTTGGTTATTTCTGGGCAAATCAATATTTTGTCTTTTTGCTGTGCTGCTGCTCGCTGCTGATTGCCCTGTAATGACTCCTTTATGGGATGTCTTTTAATAAAGGCAATTGGAAAAAAATAATAATAGTCCTGGCAGGAATCTCTTCCAGCTCTAAGAGTCTGATTTAATAATGAAAACCTCATTTATTCTTAAGCCTTATTTTTGTTTATAGAATTCCTTAAGCATTTTTAATTTTCTGTTGTATTCTCTAAATGTTTTTTTCCCAGTTGGAGAATGCCCTGAAAACTTGCTACTCAGAAAGGAGCTCATGTGGCTTTGGGAAAGGGTATTAAAAATAATCTCTGCACCAGGAAAAAAAAAAAGATTATTCTTTAGAATAATCCAAGTAGGCCAAAGCAGGGCCAGGGGAAGGAAGTGTGTGCTCTGACAGGGGTAAGATGATGCTTGTTTGGGACTTCTGGCAGCTGTTGGAAGTGTAGAAGAGGACACAGAAATGGGGATTTCCTCAGGGATGTGACAAGTTCTTCTTGGGCTCTGAAGTTTGTGTTTGACTGTTGTGGAAGTTCTTACAGGAGATGAGTCAGGGGCAGGGAGGGTTAATTCTCTTGTATCTTAGTGTGGTTCCAATTAAAAATCTTTCTTGATGGAAAAATCTGCTGGGCTGGAGCCCCTCTGCTCTGGAGCCAGACTGGGAGAGCTGGGAATGTTCACCTGGAGAAGAGAAGGCTCCAGGGAGAGCTGAGAGCCCCTTCCAGGGCCTGAAGGGGTCCAGGAGAGCTGGAGAGGGACTGGGGGCAAAGCATGGAGGGACAGGACAAGGGGAAATGTGTTCAAACTGGTTCAGATGGGATATAGGGAAGGAATTCCTGGCTGTGAGGGTGGGGGCCAGAGAAGCTGTGGCTGCCCCTGGATCCCTGGAAGTGTCCAAGGCCTGGTTGGATGGGACTTGGAGCAACCTGGGCCGGTGGAAGGTGTCCCTGCCCATGGCAGGGGGTGGCACTGGATGGCATTTAAGGTTCCTTCCAGCCCAAGCCATCCTGGAATTCTGTGGATGCTTTCCCAGGGACAGCAGATCATTGGAAATGAACAGTTTTATCCCAATCCCTCCTCTGGACTTTGGGATCCCAGGGCTGTGTGGGCTTATTTGGGTCCGGGGGCTGGTTCATGCCTGGGAGGTTATTTTGGAAGTACAGGGTGACACTGGAATTAGTTCTGCATGTTGGGGAGTGGAATTTGGGGAATATAAATCCCTAATCACCTGGCAAGCAGATGGAAAAGCTCTCTGTGCTTTTCAGGATTCCTCAGCTGTGTGAGTGCATGAACTCATTGGAGGAGCAGAGTTTGCTCACGCATTGTACTTAAAATGTATTTGTGTGGTTGCATTTTTCCCTTTCTTTGGGCTGCATTAATTTGCTCTGTGTCGGGGTTCTTAGGATTCCATAGGGAAAATATTCCAGATATACCAGTTCAGTTGATTTCATTAGAGAGATTTTTGGTATTAGGTTTCTGAGGGTATTTTTCTCCTGTTTATTACTTACACATCATGCATTCCAGAGCCTGTGTGTAGAACAGATCCCTGAAATCCCACAGTCCTTCGCCAGGACAGGAACTTGTGGAAAGCAGTCAGGATGTTCCTGGAGCTGTTTTTATATCAGGGGATTTATCATCAAATGGGAGGGGGGAGTTTTGATGTTGGTCCAGATCCCCAAGACCCCCTGTTTTGGGAATCCCTGAATC